GTAACGTAACGCCCCCCCGAGTACCGAATCGGGCCTCTGGACGCCCATCCCGTGGAGAAACCGGGAGCTGTATTTTTGTCCGTGACGCCAGAGGTTTGGCATCTGGTGGATTGAAATTGTTACGGTCAGAATCAGGCAGAAGATCGAGGTCGGTTCGGGGAGGGTGCCTTAAGATTCTTCGTGTCGATGAGATGTTCTTGTGCATCTTGGGGGAGGGCACCCTCGAACGTTCTTCAGTTTAGCCGGCGGAGGGTCTCGTGTTCTTGAAGGATGTTCTTCTGTGTTAGGTCTTCCCGTACGGAAGCAAAGTTGAAGAAGACCGACAGCAGTTCCTGTTCAGTTTGAGCAGGATTCATTATCTATGTCGCCGTGGCTGTGGCCTGCTTGACACAAACACCGCCTGCCAAACAGCGGGCTCTGTCGGTCTTGGGCATCATTTGCTGTTTGGCGTCGTGCCCAGCTCGGGCGTGCAAATGCTGGGCCCCTGAGCCGGGAGGTCCCCCGAGGCTTCTGCAGGTCCCCAGGGCTTCCGGGAGGCTCCCTGGAGGACTCCGGAAGGATCTCTCGAGGCTGCAGGGGCGCCAAGGATCGTCGAGCGTTCGGGGGCCAGCCCCGCCGGGGGCCAGCCGACCCTGGTGTGGGGGCAACGTGGAGCCGACCCCCTCCTCATGGGCCTCCCGGGCGAGGTCGGAGCAGCTGGGGCCAGAGGATCGCGCCGCATCGGCGATGCATAGGGCATGCGGCTCGACGTGGGGCCCGACTTTCGCCACGGCCACGGCGCCAATGCATCGCCGACCTCGCCGGTGCATCGCCGACGCACCGCCGACGCACCGGCGATACGGCGCGACGCTCCGACCCCAGCCCCGACCCCACCCGATGACCCTCAGGGCGTGTGTTAGCCCAATGTGTGCTTATCCCGTTTAGCCCAACCAGTAGGGCATTACATCGCCTGCGTCGTATCGAAGGGCCTCGATGGACAAACACACGTTGGCGCCAGCACACAGTCTGAGGATCACCGACCCATCTGGGAGGTCTCTATCTCCCCTCCTTGCGCTGGCCCGTGTCCGTGAGCTGGCCCCCCCTCGCGTTGCCGCACGGTTTTTTCGGGTCCCAGCTCGGCTCTCGGGCGGCCGATTTCGGGACGATCCAGGCACCCTTGGAGCGTGGCTGGCGAGGCGCAGCTGTTGAAAGCATCCCGAGGCTGGGAAACCGCTGAGAATCAACGAAGCCGTTAGAAAAGTTTCGCTTCGGCCCCGTCGATTCCCTCATGAGCAAGTCGTATTTTTCCCGGATAAGGACAGAGGCCCAGGGTTCTCTTTTAGTAGGTAAATTTGTCCCGGGTGCCAAGTTCGAAGAGGGCGGGCGGATTATTTATTTGATGATTGTTAGCCAGCGCGGGCCCCAAACAGTAGGTTTTTGCAATCTATGCGGTGCAATCTATGTGGCGCAATGTATGCGATGCAACCTATGTGATGCAATTTATGCAGTGCAGTCAATGTGGTGCGATATATGGGATGATGCAACCTATGTGATGCAACCAATGCGGTGCTACCAATGTGGTGCAATGTATGCGATACAACCTATGTAATTCAATATATGCGGTGCAACGTATGCGATGCAACCTGTGTCATGCAATATATGCGGTGCAAAGTATGCGATGCGGCGACGGCGACGGGCGGCGACGGGGGGCGGCGACGGGCGGGGATGGCGGCGACGGGCGGCGACGGCGACGGGCGGCGACGGGGGGTGGCGACGGGCGGGGATGGCGGCGACGGGCGGCGACGGCGACGGGCTGCGACGGGCGGGGATGGCGGCGACGGCGACGGGCGGACACGGGCGGCGCGGCGGCGATTTTGCGGCGAGGGTTCCGAGATGGTTAAACGAAGTAAGAACCCCTAGTGCTGCAGGCACTGTTTGGAGAACAACGAGGTCGAAGAGGGCCGGCGGATTAGATGTCGAGGATGTCCCCAGCGCAACGCTGGTTTCTGAAATTCCAATTGATACACCACAAGGTGAAGTGAGCATGTTCGTTTATTCCGGATGTCTCGAGCGAAATGCTTGTTTTGCATAATTTGTTGAGGATGTCCCGCCCGAAACCTTCGTTTTGTGCTATGGATCGTTTCTCTCATGGGGCCCAGAATTCAGAGGATGTCTCTAGTGAATTGCTTGTTTTCACGTGCCCAAGTGTTGAGGATGTCTCAAGCGAGACGCTTGGTTTCACGCCCCCAGGTTGCCCAGACAGATGTCTAGCATCAGGATGGGTTGAGGATGTCTCGAGCGAGACGCTTGTTTTCACGCGTCCAGGTCGTCCAGGCAGATGTCTAGCATGAGGATTTGTTGAGGATGTCTCGAGCGAACCGCTCGTTTTCGTGCGTCCAGGTCGCCCAGGAAGATGTCTCGCATGAGGATAAGTTGAGGTTGTGTTGAGCGAAGCGCTTGTTTTCACGTGCCCAGGTATCCCAGGCAGATGTCTAGCATGAGGAGGTGTTGAGAATGTCTTGAGCGAGACACTTGGTTTCACGGGTCCAGGTCGCCCAGGCGGATGCCTAACATGAGGATGTCTTGAGGAGATGTCTCGAGCGAAACGCTTGTCGCAGAAGAGTGTGTCGCAGTCCATCCTCGCCCGTCCGTGGGGCCCTGGCCGCTCCCTGTCGCGTCCCTTGCGACGTTCACGCGTGACGTGCCCTGGCACGTCACCTAGCACGCCACTCGGCGTGGCTCGCTCCCTGGCTCGTCCTCTGTCGCGTTTCTGGCTCGTCCCCAGGCGTTTCCCCTGCCCCTTCTGCGGCGGGCCCCTTGCAACGTCCCTTGGCATGGCGTCCTCTGGCCGCCCCATGGCAAGCGCTTTGGCACGTCCCGTGGCAGGTCCCACACGTACAGGGCACGTTCCCTGATGCGTCCCCTTGATATGTCCATTGGCGCATCCCCTATTGCGCCACTGCCACATCCTGTGGCGCGTCGGTGAGCCTGTGCCCCGTGTGGTGTCGTTCTTTCTCGGAGCCGAATCGGATTTTGAGGTCGAGTTGATTGAACGTCCTCCACGTTTCCACTTGAACTGGCTCTGGGGCGGCTGCTGTGTGCTCGGGCAGCTCGAACTTCAGATCCATATCAGTTTGGTCAGGACTCGCATGCCAAGAAGCACTCGATCCACAACGCCACATAACACAATCGCGGCATGGCACATCGCAGTTCAGCGCGGCACAGCACAGCACAGCCTTGGACACGGTACAACAAGATCGATACACCCAGCATCACAATTGCCCGTCGCCCAAATATGTGTTTTGACCACGTTGACATGCCCCACATGTCCTTGTCTCGTTCTGGTTTCGTGGGTCGATCAGGTTAAAAGGTTCGACCTTGAAGAGGACGATGGCGATGATGACAACGCCGACGACGACGGGCTCGGCCCCGTCGACTCCTCACGAGCAGGTCGTATGATCCGTAAGGGCTTCGCCCCTCCGCCGGTCCTCTCTCTCTCTCTCTCTCCCTCTCTCTCTTACAGTGGGGCAGACCAGAGCTGCGCAGGGATGCAAAGGCGCCGTCGTGAAGCAGTGTCGGGACTTCACGCGAGGACCAATATCGTACCTTTCGGCTTGCAACGCAGCATCGGAGCACATCTTTCGAATGCTGACAGCTCGCATTGCGAACTTGCTGACAATCGTTGCCTCGGGACGCAAGCAGCGCGTACTTTACTCTGCATCGTAGCCTCGGGTACGTGGGTGCAGCGTAATTTACAAAAGGATCATGGCCTCGAGGACGCGAATCTGGGCACAGTCAACCCGCACAGTAAGGATGGGCAACCTTCCCATGGGAACCCCTGCATCCTTGCCCCTTCGACCCATCCTTAGCGACTCGTTAGCCAACCTCGTTCGACAAATGTTCACATGGGCCTCCAAGGCCCTTGCATCCTCACCGCACATCCTCATGATACAGGTTGACTGTAATTTACGATGGGTCGTGGCCTCGGGGACGCGATCGTGGCCTCTGTGATGCAGCTATTGTACACTTTACGGGGGCATATGGCCTTGGACGCGAGCATTGCGTAATTGACTCAGAGTTCTTGCTTCGAGTACGCAGTTGTGGCGCACTTTAGAAGGGACCGTGACTTCGGGGACGCGAATATTGTACAACTTTCGGGGGATCGTGCCCTCGGGGACGCGTCAACGGTATAATTTACGCGGGGCCGTCCCCTCGCGGACGCGAATCTATCGTATATTTTTTGGGGGATAGTGCCCTCGGGGGCGCGAAAGCAGCATTAGCTTACGCGGGGCCGTGGCGTCGTCGTTGACGCGGGCATGGGCTACTTTTTACGAGGGGTCGTGGCCTCGAGGACGCGAGCGTGGCGTGCATTGCGAGGGAGTTCTTAGGGCTTCGAAGACGCGGATCTGGGCAGCTTGCGATGGACCGTGGCCTCGGGGGCGCGAATATCGCACGGTTTCCGAAGACGCGATGTCGTAGAATTGGCAGAAGGGGGCCGTGGCCTCGGGGACGCGAATGTTAAGTCATTTGCGGGGGACCGTGGTCTCGGTGACGCAGGTCTTGCGTACTTTGCGAGGGTTCTGCCCTCGAGGGCGCGCACATTGCTTTTTGTTCAAGGGATTATGGCTTCAAGGACGCAAATGCAAGGTAATGTACTAAGGATCGTGGCCTCGGGGACGCGAACCTTGTATGATTTATTGAGTGTCGTGGCCTCGGGGGCACGACGACTGTTGTGATTACAACGGGTTATTGCTTCTGGGGCGCGAATCTTATTTATTTGTACGTGTCCCACGGCCCCGCAGGAATTCAGAACACGCAATCTGGACGTGGTAACAGGGCCTTTCCCCCACCCTCGCGCGGACTTCAGAGTTTCCAGTAGGAGGTAGGAAGTAGGACAATAACACGAGAGACTTGCAACTGGAATTGGAGCAGGGAGCAGCAACCCTAATCCGCGCAGCCTGATGGGGGCCAGCGAATTTCTCGCATCTCTCGAGGTCGTGCCCACTGGGTCCGCGCGCGAGGTGCTCGATTCCGTGCGCGCGGAGAGGGCCGAGCGGGAGCGGCAGTTAGCCAGCCTGGAGGACGCCGTAGGCGGGAAGCTGCAGGAGCCGGCGAGACGGCGACGGATCTTCTCCTCTTCGTCGTTCCTCTCCTCCTCCCTCCTCTCCTCCTCTATCCTTCTCCTCCTCCTCCTCCTCCTCCTCCTCCTCCTCCTCCTCCTTATCTCTCCTCTCTCCTCCGCCTCCTCCTCTCTCCTCCTCCTCCTCCTCTTCCCTCCTCCTCCACCTCCTCCTCTTCTCCTCTCCTCCTCCTCCTCCCTCCTCCTCCACCTCTTCCCTCCTCTCCCCCCCCCTCCTCTCCCTCCTCCTCCTCCTCCTCCTCCTCCTCCTCCTCCCTCCTCCTCCTCCTCCTCCTCCCTCCTCCTCCTCCTCCTCCCCTCCTCCTCCTCCTCCTCCCTCCTCCTCCTCCTCCTCCTCCTCCTCCTCCTCCTCCTCCTCCTCCTCCTCCTCCTCCTCTCCTCCTCCTCCTCCTCCTCCTCCTCCTCCTCCTCCTCCTCCTCCTCCTCCTCCTCCTCCTCGTATCTCTCCTCCGCCTCCTCCTCCCTCCCTCCTCCTCCTCCTCCTCCTCCTCCTCCTCCTTCTCCTCCTCTCTTCCTCCTCCTCTCCTCCTCCTCCTCCTCCTCTTCTCCTTCCTCCTCCCCTCGTCTCGTCGCTCGTCGTCGTCGTCGTCGTCGTCGTGGCCGGGTCGCCTTGTCGCCGTCGCCGTCGCCGTCGCCCTTCTCATCATCCTCTTTCCTTCTCCCCTTCGCCACATCCTCTTCCTCTCGCCCGCCCTCCATCCATCTATCCCTCCGTCTTTCTCCTCCCTTCACCCTCCTCCCCTCCTCATCCTCTTCCCCGCCCTCCTCTTCGCTCCTCCCTCCTCCTCCTGCTCCTCCTCCTCCTCCTCCTCCTTCTCCTCCTCTCTCCTCCTCGTCGTCAGCCTTCTCCTCTATCTCTCCTCCCTCCATCCTCCGCCCTCCTTCCCTCCCCCCCTCTCTCCTCCTTCTCTCGGCCCTCCCTCCTCCCTCATTCCTCCATCCCTCCTCCCTCCCTCCTCCCTCCTCTCTCCTCCCTCCTCTCTCCCTTCCCTCCCTCCTTTGTACAGATGCGCTAACTTTAATCAGGTGATCGCTGCGTCTGTAGAACATCATTTGGACCTGCTTCTGCGTGCTGCAGATCGGTTAAGGCGATTAGAAAACAGAAAAGTGAAAGCCGTCCTCCTCTTCCTTCTCCTCCTCCTTTTTCATCCCTCGTCAACTCTCCTCCCTCCCTCCCTCTCATCCCTCCCTCCCTCACTCACTCCCTCCTCACTCCTTCACTCACTCCCTCCTCACTCACTCCTCCTCCTCCTCCTCCTCCTCCCTTACCTGCTCCTCCTCCTCCTCCTCCTCCTCCTCCTCCTCCTCCTCCTCCTCCTCCTCCCTTACCTCCTCCTCCTCCTCCTCCTCCACCTCCTCCTCCTCCTCCTCCTCCTCCTCCTCCTCCTCCTCCTCCTCTTCCTCCTCCTTCTTCTCTCCCCCCCCTTGCCTCGTCCCTCCTCGCCCTCGCCAGGCGTGTACTGATCCTCAGACGGCGCAGTTTCTGACGGGCTGACCTGGCAATCTTGCGGGCAGTCTGCGTGGCGTGGCCTGCGGGTGTGAAGGTCGTGGCCCCGCACACCTCGGCGGCGTGCGCGTGGGCGTGGCGCGAGGCAGCGGCCTTCTCAGAGGGCAGGCGGAGGCTCCTCGGAAGGCAGGCGGCTTCCCCGAAGAGCTCCCCCGGCGTTCTCGGAACCCGCTCGGACGCCTCCAGGCCCTTGCGCCCTCCCCCCAAAAACCCACGACTTCTCAGGAGGCGGGCGGTCTCCCTGAACAAGCCCTCCCGGTGTTCTCGGGAGCCCTCTCGGAAGCCTCCAGGGCCTCTCCACGAAGGCACTCGGCCCTCAGCAGGCTCCCCCCCCCAATCGTGCCGCCCCCCGTGCGCGCGCCGCCCGCTACCTCTCGAGCTTCAGGTCGAGGCGAGAGCGGCCGCCGGCGCAGCGCCCCGGTCGCCACGGCCCGCCTCCGGCCCCCCCCCCTCGGCGGGTCCCGCGCGCGCGCGGCCAGGAGGCACGCACTGGCGAAGCGTCCTGGCTCGCCTATCGGCCCACCGAAGATTGTTCTGAGAGCCCGTGGTGGTTTCCACGAGATGCTCTCAGAGCATTTCTGGCGTTGGGGCGGTCTTTGAGACATCGGGCTTCTGTTATGAGAACATCGCCTTTGAGATTAGATCATGTTTGTGCTCTAAGGACATGTCGTGGTAGGCCTACAGGAATGCCGAGTCGGTCGGTCCCTGCTCAGCCCCCCCCCCCTCGACGGGTCCCTCGCGCGCGGCCAGGAGACCGTCCGCCAGACGGCGGAGTCGCTGCTGGAGGTGCGGAGGGAGCACGAGAGCCTGCGCGAGATCGTGGCGGGGGCGGGGGAGGGGAGCACAGGTCGTGGGCCCACAAACGGGGTGGTGACCACACCGTGCGGTGGGTCGGTGGGGATGCGGGGTCACCGCACGGTTTCGGGACTCGGGTCTTTCTCCGAGGACGCCTCGGGTGACTGGGGCCTCCGGGGTCTCAAGACCGTGCGGTGACGGACCTTGCGGTGCGGTCTTGGGGGATTTTGGAGGTCACCGCACGGTCTGTCACCGCACCGTTTCGCGACTCCAAAATAGAGGGGCGGCAAAGATCAGGCGATCGCAAGCATGGAGTAAGGGGGCGTGGATCAGCGACGGGCCCCGCTTCCAGGGGAATCTCTCAGATTTCCGCCGCCGAGCGGGCCAGCACTGGCCGCATTTTGGGTAGGTTACCTCCCCCGATGCATGGATTTGGCGACTGCGCTCCAAATCCATGGATCGCTCATCCGTGTTTGCGCGTCCCCCAAAAAGAGGGGAGGGACGACTAACTAGGGGGGCTGGATGTCATGGCGGGGTCCCCAGATTTCATGGTGCCTCTTCATGTGTCAATGCGTCCCGGGCCCCCCCGGGGCCGCGCACATGCCGCGGGCCATGATTTGCGCCCCCTCCCTGTTGGATGCCCCCCTCTTGGACGCCCCCGAGGGAGCAGGAACAGGAGCAGGCTATCACACGTAGCGGCCAAGGAACGCTAAGCGGCCCTCTTGCGCAACGCAGCCCTGCTGAGCTGCTCGGGCCACAACCCCGATTCAAGCCGAGTCAAATAGTCGAGTCATGCCGATTGGCTTCTCACTTAGATGTGCATGATCCCGCTAGCTCATGTATGGAGGTATGAACTGGAAAAACACAGACTTGGTTGGGGTTTGGGCGATGGAGGGAGGGTGAGGGATGAGAGATGGAGGGAGGACGGAGGACGGTGGAGGGAGGATGGAGGAGGGAAGAGGGAGGATGGAGGAGGGAGGTAGGGAGGGAGGGAGGGAGGGAGGGAGGGAGGGAAGGAGGGAGGAGGAGGAGGAGGAAGAAGAGGGAGGAGGAGGAGGAGGAGAAGGAGGAGGAGGAGGAGGGGGCGGAGGAAAGGGATGAGGAGGAGGAGGTACGAGGCTCCGTGCATATGTTATTCTAAAGCGCGAGTCCTGGATTTCAGATGGAGCCGTCGCCCATTTACGGATTTGTCGAACAGAATCGTTCGACAGTTCTGCCTGGCCCCGGTGATACTTGTTGCTACCCTCCCTGGGCGCTTTAAATATTCGAGTGCGCCTGAAACAATCGCATCGCTTTGTGCTAAAGTCGTTATGTTTTACTTACCTTGTTTAGACCCTATGGCGGCGCTCCTCCAGCTGGCGCTTCGCGCATCCGTCGAGGTGCCCCCATCGCCTGGCCCTGTTGCGCTCGTTCTCCTGTCCTCAGCTCGTCCCGCTCCCAGACGAGTCCCTGCCTCCCTCCCTCCCTCCCTCCCTCCCTCCCTCGTCTTTTTGCCACCCCCCCCGTGCTGGGTGCTGTTTCAGGGCACTGCTGGTCCTCCTCCTCCTCCTCCTCCTCCTCCTCCTCCTCTTCCGTTGCTTCTTCCCTGCCGGCCTTCCCTCTGTCCTCCTCCCTTACCTCCTCGCCAGCCGCCGTTCTAGCTCACTTCGCGTGGCGGGGCGTGACGTCGCGGGCCGCGCATTGGACTGGCTGGGCAATTATCTTGCCGACCCTGCCTGCTGGCGAGGGCAGCGGGGGCCAGGCCGCAGCGATCAGGCATGCCTGACATAGGTCTGTTCCATATCTCCACGGCCCCAGTTAGCGCGTCAAGTGTGGGCGGCTGCCCACTGCGGGCCAACGAGGTGCGCGAACCTCAGTTTGGCCGCAAGCTTGCCCCACCCCGTTGCCAGGTGCACGCATTGGCCCCAAGGTTCTCGCCGCGGGAGGGCGCGCGCCATCCATGCCATGGTGAGCGCGTTTTGTATTCCCCGCGTTCCCGCCGACCTCCGCGGGGCATCGCGGGCTGGCGGGGCGCCCTCGCTGACCTCGCGCGGACCCTCGGGGGCGCTGCCGAATGCCTGGCTGCGCCCGTGGATGCAAACGCAGCCACGGGATCCGCGCTCGACGACGCAACCGGGCCATTTCATCCCGAGATGGGGCCCTTCCCAGGCGAATGCTTTCGCAAGTGCGCGCGCTCCACTGCGCAGCGGGCGCCCCCCCCCCCCCCCCCACCCGCGCGCGCATTTTACGATGGCTCCGCGGGAGAAGCAGGTGCCTGACTGACCCCTTGTAAGGCTTATAAGGGGGCTACCCGCAGATGCAAACGACGGTTCCACGCCCTTCTGGCACAGGGTCTGGGCGTGCCAGCCCTAGGCGGTCGCGCAGATCGACCACCGCGCGGCGGCCGCGCAGTTGCGCCCCCGAACGTCTGGCTTTGCCCTTGCCTTGGTCAGGCCATGCAAAGTCAGCCGCGAAACGGGCCTTCGCGATGGCCCAGTGGCGGCTCAACGCTTCGACAATTTGCATTCGAACCGCGGGGCCTTGAAGTCCATGCCGCGGAACGCGCTCGCCCGCGTGGTCAGCGCGCGCGCCGGACCACGCACGCGGCCATTCCAGCGAGAAAATGGGCGCTGGGAAGCCGCCCGCGCCAATCCTGGATCAGCTACGCATCGTTGCCAATGCAAGAATGGCGAACCATCTATTTGAAGCATGCTAACTGGCTTGCCTCGCAGTTGTTGTTTCTGTCTGGAGATTGGCGGCGTCGGTGCCCGATGCGATTGCGCTGCGCTGGTGTGACTATTGCCAGCGGGCTGTTGCCGATCTCCTCGACGTCCTCCCAGTCTTGCAAGTGCGCATGGCCTTGGGTCGCGCCGCGCGCTCGCGGGCGCCGCGGCGGGCGCCCTCTGGAAGGGCGGCCCCTTGCGAACCGCCGGCGCGGCGGCGGCAGCGCGGACAGGGCATGCGCGCTTACATGCGCATTGGCGCAGTGGCGCCCTCGCGCCCCCCTCCAGGCGCCCTCGCTCAGCGCGGTCGCCGCGGGCCGTGCTCTCATGCCTGCGTGCGCAGCATGCTGCAGGTACATGCGCACGCGTGGGCTTATTGCGCTGGTGCGCCAGAGGCCGGTGCTCTCTCGCACCGCGCTGCGCCCACGCAGTGCCCCGCTGCGTGCGACGCGCAGCTGCGCTGGCCAGCTCGCCTCCGAGGTCTCTTGCGCCTGGCCCAGGTAATCCGCCGACAAAAAAAACGAAGGCTGAGTGCCATGGGCGCGGGCTCAGCCGAGAAGCAGAACGCTGGGGCGTTCCCGGCAGTTGCGCGTGAAGATAGCTGGCTAGCAGCGGCCCGCCAGGAAGCTGCCAGTGGCTGGCTCCGCCATCTCGCCGCCGAAGAAGTGGAAGCTGTCGTGCCCGAGGAGTGCGCGTCGCGGCGCCGCCGGCTATTCAGGGGGCCTCCCGAGACCCCGCCCACGAGAAGGATTCGCAGCGGCCTTTCCCGTCACCGCTCGGCACTTGTCAGCGCGTTTGCAAGTCTGCCGCGACGTCGGCCACAAGCCTCGACGCGGCCCCTGGAGCTTCCCCCCCGCCCCGCTGCCTCCAGGTTGACCAAGCGCCGCCAGTCGGTCGCGACCGAGGCATGTGCGCGCGTTGGGGGGCCCGTCCAGTGGAAAGGATGTACTTTCGTGAATGCGTGGAACAATACGACTACTCCAGCAATATGGCCCAACCATCGGTCGGTCATGATTTGTGTGAAGATCGGGGAGAGCATTGACAGCCGCTGCGGAAGCCCCTGGTCGACGCGCTGGCAAAAATAGCGGGGGGTCGTCCGCGTGGAGGCATCTCGGGCAGAAGGGTGGACCTGGCAGCGTTCGCACTGCGCAGCTTCCAGGAAATTGCGAGATCGTTGTCGCCATCCGCGGTGTTTTCCTGTTGTACGAAGTCTCCACGTTCTACAGATCACTGCCAGACCACGCGTCCCGGCATGGCACCTCTGACGCCATTCCCCCCCTTTCCAGGGGGGCACAAAACGACGAACGACAAAACAATTGATCGCATTCACGCGCGTTTGATACATGAATCCGCGGCGCCGGTCACTCGTCTCAAACGCCTTTCGCGCTGGTCCCCACCCAGCGGTGGCGCGCGGTTTTCTCAGGGGCATAGGGGGGCCTGGAATCGAACTTCCACGAGCAACGCCTGGGCGTCGTTTCCAGACGGGGCGACGAGGGCGCGCGAAACGCGACAGGTATGGGAGATGGATCTGGCCGCGAAGGACACAACACATGTCGAGCAGTTCAAGGGCAGATCTGAACCAAACCGCGAAGGACACCAAACATCACAGAGGACCGAAAAAGGGCCGACGGCAGAACCCGACAGGCCGACGACAAAAAAGAAAAATACGGAGGGCAAAAAAATGAGGCGGGCGACACATTCAAACGACAAACAGCAATTGCCACCACCAAACAAGGCGGACGACAATGGATGCCGGCGGCGCAGAGCCGCGACCGAATCCGAATTTGCGACGACAAATGCCTTTGGGGGACATGCAACAAACAATGCGAAAGTGCCGTTCGCACTGCAAATTCATGGGGCGCTGACCATGGGGGGCAATTAGTCGGGCAATTTGTCGCCACGCGTGCCGCGCTCCCGGAAGGGTCGCGCCCGCGCTGGGATTTCGCGTGCCGCGCGCTGATGCCTTCGCGCGCGCGCGCGTGGGATTGGCGCGCGCTGGAGATGCGCACTCGCGCCGACGCCATCGCGCGCGTCTCAGCTGCGGGCGAAGCGCGCCGGATTGGCGCGCGCGCAACGACGTCACTCTTCAGATCAGCGCATAATCTCCCCGCATCATGCACGTCGTGAGACCAGCGTCAACACGAGAGCCGTGATTCGGGGTGGGCGGCGGTGTCTGAGTTGAATTTGCTTTTCGCTCAACGCATGTCGGCACGCGTCATCTGAGAAGTGTGGAAATAAATTCGGTGCTTTTGTCTCACGATATGCATGTGGATCCTCTCTCATAGTTAATGTGGACATGATTGGTGCAAATCGTCATCTCATCATCACCACAACGGGGTTACCAACGGGCGCCATCCATGACCTCAAGGAAGATATTCCTAACCAGCCTTCCTCATGGCAGTACACACATCGATTCCCAACATGTATCATCGTGCATGTTTCTGGTTTCCAGGGACCACATCGGTAGCGCGCAGCCTTGAAGGAACACCGCCAGGCCAGCAGCTAAAGGATGTCAGTCTCAATTATGTTATGCCCGAGTGTGTCAAGGACGCCCGGCAAGCTGTGGCATATCTCGAGTTCGACATCAGGGTGCCAATCCGTGTCATCACCGTATTGGCAGTCATGATCGCATAACCCCCCGACAGGAGGAGTAAACACATCGAAGCCTGCTTCGTTCGCTGCGCTTTGGCACGCGATTGCAGTTTTGGGCGCAGCTCCGAAGATAGCTGCAACAGTTCCTACCACAGTTTTGCGACTTGGATTGCGCCCGAACGCTTCTGCTGGCAAGGCAGAGATGTTTTTCCAAGTGTTGCGGGCCAGGTGCCATGACAGCCACGGGACAGCTTTGCGTACGCTGCAGGGGTCCTTTCAAAGTTTCACGGGTTGGTTGGTGGATTTCGAGGTTTGCGATGGTACCGACAGCAGGGGATTCGGTTAAACGAAATTGGTTCTATCGGGCCCGAGTTGGCCCATCTCGATTATTCGGTTTGGTCGTCAGGCCAGTAGCGGCGCAAACGCATTTGTGCCGCCACCGCCAGTGCGTCCCAGGACGCACCATTACATTCCACGCGGACGCTCATCTACGTTGGGGCCTCTGTTAAATGCTGGCAATTGGCTGGGCCTGGCGCGCGCCCAGCACGCTCACATGCGGCATTTGATGATTGCCAAGTACCGCCCGGTTATTTTCAACTCCGGAGGTGTGACGACCAGGCAGGCAACGGCACTTATGTTTTGATTTAAACTCAGAGGGCGGATCTCGCAACAGTGTTGAGACCCCATCTGCTGCACCATCGGCCTCCGACGCTCCGTTGCTTAGTGGCTCGCATTTTCAGATAGGCCAGTGCACGGGAAGCCTCGTAACTACATCGGGTGCTCAGCGATCTGTCGTGGCTCCGCTCGGTACATCATGCTTTCGCGAGTTTCCCGCCCCACTACCAGCCTCCGACCCCGTGCACCCCATTTACCCGCAGCCCCCCTCTCCCCGCGTGCATGTGGCGCGGGGTGCGGGGTGAATGCAAGAAGGAGCTACGACAGCACATTGTGCGTACGCACCACGATGAAGTGCACATTGTCGAGCGGCTCATGGACGAAGTCGGCACGTGTTTGGCGTGCTCGACTCACCCGCTTCTTGGCGCGCAGATTGCTCCGGGGCCACCGGGCTTTCGATGCACCGATGTGCCGCATTGCCCACCGCTCGCGCGGTGCGGCGTTCTCCCCCGGACAAGGCCCAGGAGTTAGCTTGCCAGGACACCACAGCACATTCAAAGCAGAAGCGTGAAGGCAAAGGTAAGTGGCGTGCGGCATGTCCAGCATATGCCGTCAACCCCGAGGAAGATCTTTATCCAGCCTCCAGGCTCGCTTTCGCGCGTTTCGACGATCAGGAAGCTCGCGAGATCCTCCTCGAGACCGAATATGCGCACGACCCAGACACACTGCAAAAGTACCAGGCGCCGTTTGATGCCCAGGAAGAGATACCAGATCCGCCAGTTGTGCAGTTTGCTGACCAGTATTCGGGCGAAGGGAACTATGCACATGCACCGATCCTGGCAAGGCCCATCCTTGACCCAGGATCGGTGCATATATACCTTCCTAGCCAAGGTAGGAGGGCGTATGCACCGATCCTGGGCTCAGGATGGGCCTGGCCAGAATCGGTGTATGTGCATAGTTTTTTTTCCTCTCAGGAAGAGATACCAGATCCGCCAGGTGTGCAGTTTGCTGACCGGTAGTGGAGGTATCGCACGCAAGACGTTCAATCGTAGCTTCGGGCCCGTCTCCCAGGAGAGCGCACAGGAGTAGAAGTGTTCGCATTCAATTTGTTTTCAGGCAGGAGACGCGACGGCGATGCCCAGACCTGGATCTAGAATGAAAGGTACTTACCTAAGATATTATCACATTGTTATGCTGAACGTAGGTACTGCAATACACGAGCTACTCGGAAATGGCAAGAACAATGATCTCATCCAGGTCCGGTCCTCCTACACATTGGCACTTATAAAGTATGGAATGCTTGGGGGGGGCCTGTGAGACATGGAGCGCGGCTCGGTGGCAGGAAAGGCCCTCCCCCCGTTACGCACGAATGAACGGATTTGGGGAGTTCGCTGGGCTACGAGTAGGCAGTCACTACACTTGGACAT